CAGAGAGGGTCTTGCCAGTTGGAAAGAAGATGAAAAGGAGTTCCCAGTCTGGCTTTCTTACCTTCCTGCCCCAGTCGGGGTAGGAAACAAGGATCTTCCCTGGTTGACTCAGTTAGCCCAGGGAGAACTGACCTTTCCCTTCCAGGGAATGAAGCCCAGACTTTGTCACCAGTATAGCATTTACCTCCCCAACTACTGCACCTGTGTGCACTAGCCTGCGGTTGGGAACGTTCAACGCAGTGTTCTCTTCTCATGAAAACAAGCAAGGATAGTTCACAGATCAAGACGCTTCCAGGTTAGAACTGGCAGCTTTCTAAAGTTTCCAAAAGTTGGGCTCCTCCTCCCCCACGTCAGGCTTGGGTGTTCTCGCAAATCTGGAGATTTTCTTGGGTGATTTCAAAGGAGTACCTAAGTTACCCCGGGCCCTGCTGGTCTAAAAGAACCAGAGGCCACGGCTTCTCTGGAAGAAAGAGCCGGAGGACTAGTTCCGTCCGGCACCGTGCCTTCACGCACCCAGCCCCCCAGAGCCTGAAATCCGGAGACGGCCGGCAGTTCCGCCACTCAGCAAGCCGCGGGTTGGAAGGGGCTGGGCCAGCGCCTCGCCTGGGAGGAGCTGCCGCCGGACTGGAATCTTCCCCGAACTGGGGAAGCAGCAAGGCCAGAGTGCCGGGGAGCCAGGGCGCTGGGGAGTCGGGGCGCTGGCGAGAGCTCTGCTGGGAAGAGCGTGCCCTGCCGTCGGGCTTACTGGAAACGCGCCGGATCAGGTTCCAGATCAATGAAATCTGGGTCCACACGTTTACGTTATTGTTGCCAGCATTAATGCTCTTTTAATCTTCTAAACATTATCAGCATCGATCTCCCTCCATATACACATTTGTTTGAGAAAGTGACATAACCACATGGTAGAAAGTCTGAATAAAAATAAATGCGCAGCCTCTCGCGTCCCGCGCGCCGAGGTTGCTTCTGTGCTCAGCCTCACAGCCCTCCCTTGCGTCCCGCTCGGCGCCCCCGCTCGCAGCCACCCCAGTGCTGTTAGAAAGGTGTTCTTTCGGCACCCGGGACTTGACGGAGCCGTCCGTAGCCATCTTTTCAATGATTAACCCCACCAGCCAGCAGGCGGAAAGGTGGTGTGCTCCGCAGGACGTGGGTTGGCTGCGTCCAGCCTCTGCGACTCGGATTCCGAACTCCTCAGGGCGGTGGGCTGCGCTGGATCGCGAGCCCGAGTCGCGGGAGGACTGGGGGAAAGGTTTCGCGGGAGGCAGCCACCTCTGCTCCTGGGCTTGGGAGGTACGGGAGGGCCAGCACCGCCTAAGGACTTCCTAGCACAGGCGCGCGGAGCCCTTTCGGGACCCTGCGCACTGCACCGGCCACATTTCGCAGCTGTGGCCATCGAGAGGACCAGGCGACACCTTGGCGGTTGGTTAAGGGGCCTGGAGGTTTGAACAGTGTTGTCTCGGGATGGGAGCTGCTACTCAAAGAGGGTGCGTCTGTCAGCCACGGGCAGGATCCCCGGTGGCTCCCAGGAGCCGACTGAGAGGAAGAAACTTCCACAGGAGCCGGCTGTCTTCACCGGGAGTTGAAGGAGACCACTCCCGCTGCCAATGCCTAGATTTTCATCAGCAGGCCAGGTGTCCAGGTTCTCTCCAGAGTCTCTCAGTTTCTCTCCTTATGTTTGTACTTATTTCAAAGGCGTCTTGGGCACAAAGCCCTAGAGTGTTCTTGAGCCACAGGAATTTGTCCATTGGGGTCTCTTAGGAGGTTAATGAGAACTCACTGCCCCAGGGAGCCTGTCTTGGAGACCCAGTCTTAGATACCCCACGAGGCCCCACAGGATGCGGCTGCTGCCGCTTGCTGTCCTGTCTGCCTTTCCAGACAAATGGTGCACTTTAAGTCCATTTCTCTAAAACTGAATGCTGGGGTAAGCTGAGTTTTCCCAGTGTCTTCTCCCTTCCCCTTTCACTTGACACCTCCGTCTGAGGCTACCCCTCCCCCCGAAACTGTGTGCTCGGAGAACCGTGTAATGCAGGTGGGAGAGGAGGGCAGGCCTGCCTCTGTGTGGCATTCACCTAACAGGGAGACTTGGGGGCACTGAACTAAATCACCTAATTTTTGAGGTCCCTCAAGCCCTGTGTGCTTGGACCTCTGGCCAGACCCAGAAGGGCCCAAAGTGAGAAAGAGAAAGGGAAACTATACAGCAGATTCAGAGAAAAGAGAGACCTGGTTTGGACGAAATGGGGGCAGGAGAGGGGGCTGGTCAGTGCAGTCTCTGGGAGGAGCAGGCCAGGAGTCAGGCCCCACCCCCTGGAGCCACTGGGCTTGTTTAACCCCCAGCGACCGAAGTGAGCCCTCAGTGGCATCCCCGCGGGGGTTCCGATCAATACTCCTTGGCAGAGAAGGCCTCCGCTTTTCTTCTCCATTTGCTCCTGTCCCTAGCGCTCCTGAGCACATAATACCTACTTACCAGTCCTAGCTTCTGCGTCAGTGTCTGAAGAGACTGATCTACTGACCCCAAACTGAAAAGCCTCCTATGTAATAATAACCACTCAACACACTTGTAGTTGCTGATAAAATGGCCAGATAAAAAGGCTAAAGCTCTTGTCCCTTTTCAACTCCAGGTAATAAAACAGACACATTTGAATGCTTGAGCAAAGCAGGGTCCTCAGCAGGAATTTCCCATTCACTGAAGGAGGCTTTCAGCCTCCCACGAAGGTGGCTTCAGCATTCTACCAACAGAAAGCTCAGAGGCTAGCCCCTGATGAGTCACTCTGCCGGAGGGGGTGGCGCTGGGGGTTTTGGGGGATGGCACATTTTCCTTCCTGCCAGCGAGCTTGGGGCCATTATAAAAGCTGACATATTACTTTCAGACCGACATAGGCAGGGAGGCACTCAGTTTTTGGTGGTGGATTTTATTTTATTTTTTTAAAACAGCTCTGGCCTTTTCAGGGTCAGGCGTGAGGGGGCGGCAGCGCTCTGAGATAGACTGGAGTAAAATAGCTGTCATTCTGCTTTCAACTGTATCCCCCACCCCCAAGATTGGCTGCCAAGTGTCTTCTGACCACCTGTGCCTAGGAAGCCAGCCCAGTATTAGGGTTCCCCTAGAGGGACAAGGAATTGTTTTGCAGGGGATCTAAAACAAAGGGGTACCACACTGTTTGGAATTGTCTAGTAAGACTCCAATTTATTTCTTATTATGACCCTCTTACTCTTAACTGTTTCATCTTTGCTAGGATCCAAGAGCAAATTAAAGGTAGTTGTAGGAGAGGAAGTAATCAAGAGGAAAAGGCACATTCCTAATTTCAGCAAAAGTATTTGTAATCTCTTTGATTTGAGAAAGCTCTTTGGGGGAAAGCTAGTTTTCTTTGCCTTTTCAGGTAACACTTCGAGGGGGGGCGATAATCTTCGGGGAGATTATCTACTGGGGGCTGGGGGTGGTATTATCTACTAGAGACCAGAATCTTCCAAAAGCCAGCAAAGGCACGGGCTGTCAGAGCTGAAATACCCCCTCCCAAGCCTGGTGAACACGCTGCTTGTCTCTCATCCCAAGCCCTTCCGTGGCCAATAGAGCGTGTCCCATCAGCCAAGCTGGAAAGTCCCTGGGAGCCGGAAGCCTGAACTCGCCCCTCAGGAAGCACAGATGGGCGACGGCCCGAGCACCTAACTAGCCACCACTATTTGCCCGGGCGCCTGGATGCCTAGATATCGCCCCAGTTCAAGAAGAGCCGTCCATCCCGACTTGCAGTAGGGCAGTTTGTGTCCTCTCAGCGTGGCGCCCGAACACTCTGCCCCTCGCGGCCCGCAGCGCGGTCCCGGGGGCAGCGCGATCGCCACGCGCGCTGCCCTAGGTTTGCGCGTACAAAAGCGCGCAACTGCGCGCCAGCCTCAGCCACCGCTGCGTCTTCCTCTCTCGCTCCCCGCCGCCCACACAGGAGGTTTCTGTGCTCCTTAGAACAATAGAGGGCTGTACCTCACGGCTCGGCCGCTAGAGGAGGCACAAAGAGCCAAGCCGCTTCAGAACAATGTAACCAGAGCGTCGACCCGTCGCCTCCCGCGGGCCGCCTCCCCGCCCGCCGCGCTACGCGCACAATCAGCGTCCACTTAATGCAAAGGCGGAGCCTGTAGCCCGCGGCCAAGATGCATTAACTAACCTGCATCTTAATTTCTCAGTACCTTTTCCCGCGAGCGCCTGGCTTCTCCACTAGCCCAACCAGACCTTGGCAAAACCATCCCAGGAAACGCTGGGAGCGAGGCCGGGAAGTAAGACAGGGTGCTTCTTAGTTTTTCCTCCTCCGTCCTCCCTAAGAGGTGAACGTGACAGTCCCAACCTCCGTCCTTGTACTCTCCCTTCGCTGTGAGCAGCGACTCGGGAGCTGACCCAAGCCGGCTCTTTCGATCAGAAAGCCCCGGTGGCGCCAAGGCCAAGGCCGGAGATGAGCTCAGGAAGCGCTGTTCTATCTGGGTAGCAAAGCTGTGACTCCTGCCAATGACCAAAGAAGTTTGCCTGATATGGCGGGTAGGAAAATAAGAGACCTTTTTCCCTTTTGATGAACAATGTCCCTCATATGCCTCCAGATAGGGATATAGGCAGCGTGGAAACCTGAAATGTATTGTCTAAGTAAGAGTTCAAGTGCACAGGATTTTGAGTAAGGCAACCCTCAGCCTCTGAGTACGGGAAAGAGAGGGCTCCTAGCAGACACCGCAGCACCCCCATCCCGCTTCCCACAACTGGGAAAGGCCGCAAAGAAGGACAAAGTTGGCACTCTGGAAGAATGAAATGGGGGAGGGGGCGGGTCAGTGGAAACTCGCAGAGGAGGGGAGAAAAAAAGAAGAGTATATATAAAACAGAAGAGAAAGAGGAAGTGGAAGAAGAAACAAAGTCGAGAAGAAATAGAAAGTGTACAGGGGCGAGGAGACCAGAAGTGACTAGTTGTGCTGTAGGGCCATAAGCACCCAGGGGGGCCCTCTCCCCAGCAGCCTGACCTCCGGCGACCCCCTGGGCTTACCTGCCAGGCGTAAGGCGGACATACGCTGGAACTCGGGCTCCTGCAGCCACTTCCACATCCTGCGAAAGGTCTCCCTGCCAGATTTGAGTTTACTCCACGGTTTTGGGTTCCGGAGCAGGTCGGAGAGAGTCCCCTGAGACCGGCACAGCACCCTCTGCGCAAAGATCGCCTGTGGGATGCTGTAGCGCTTCAGCTCTGCGGTGATGCGCTGGGCCACCTCTTTGGTGTTGATCTCCTCCAGCTGGCCCGATGTGGCCACCTGCGAGCCCGACGAGGACGAGGGTGGCCGCTCACGGCTGGGCGCCAGCACCGGCCCATGGGACTGAGCGTGGCCCGGGTGGTGCAGGCCGTTGAGGTGAGACATCATGGCCGCAGGCGGGGTGCCCAGGCCACGGGACAGGTGCTGTTCACCACGGGTCAGCATGGCAGTGTGGTGCGCGTCGAAGTTGGGGCTGAGCATTTTGTCGTGGCCCGGCGGCCCGTAGTTGGGCAGGCTCTGCTGCGCGTTGTGGAGGCCGCCCAGCCCGTTGCCCAGCGGTGTGGCGGCCAGCGGGGACAGGCTCTGGCTCATGCCGGGCATCTCCTTGTAGGGGCTGTAGAGGTTGTTCATGGCCGGGAGCCCACGCTCGTCTCGCATGAGAGTGAAGCTGCCGCTGACGTTGCCCGACAGGCGCTGGTGGTGGTGGTGGTGGTGGTGGTGCGGGTGGTGGTGCGGGTGCGGGTGGTGGAACTTGTCCGACACGGTGGAGATGGGCGGCAGCGGCTGGAGCGGCGTCAGCGTGGTGTAGGTGTTGCTCATGCCCATACCGGGCGGGGACGAGTCGCAGGACATGCTCATGGCGTGATGGAGCGGGATGGAGAGCTCGGGCCGGTAGTCGCCGCCGTCCAGGATCGAGGCCATGCTAGTGACCATGGCCGAGCGCGACGCCGCCGCCGCCGCTGCCG